CTTGAGGATCAACTCTCTCTTTTCTCAAGATTTTCATTTTCATAGTATTAAGACTTGCGAGTGGAAGTTTAAAAATATTATTACGTACGTGATGACATCTGGCAGCTACTCCCCAGCTTCACCATCACAGTGTAGTATTCTTTTTGTATACTACTTGCATCAATTCTTTGATAATCTATATTGTAAAGAGCGCAGGACAATCAATGGTATACACCAAAGTATTAGCACAATTCAGGAAATTATCCTTAAAACAATTATATGAGAAAAAGAATGAGAAGTTAATAATACTATCTACTCCCAATTCTAAATTGACAAAGTATAGAAAGAGTAAGAAAAACTTTTAGTAATCTCTTTTATATTTTAGTGTTTCTATAGTGATGTCTTCCACAATCATAGGTAATTATTTGACAACATTATTATTAAATTAATAAAATATTTTTTCTTATTAATGAAATACTGGAGCGAAAAACTAAAATTAATTATAAATTTCAGAAATAAATCAAAAACTATTCATGGCTGAATTATCATGTTAAAATATTGAAAGTATTATAACATACAAAATACAAATTGTAACATGACATATGAGATAAAAACTAAAAATTATATTAGTCCTTCAAACACTCATCGTCTTAAACTACTTAACCAAAGGATTTTAAATAATATCATTTTAGTATATTCTTAAAAATTTTCAATAATCATCCTTGTGAAGATAAAATCTCCTTCATAATAGCCTAATTTAATTTTCCAAATAAGCTTGATATTACAAACTACTATATCCTTCATGGGTCATACTTCGTATGCTTGAAGGAAAAATTAATTATAATTATTAAAAAAGGGTGCAGGAAGATTAAAATGGCCAAATGCGAAAAAGTTGAAATATTAGCTATGATCACTATGCCTACTCACTCACAGGGAATATTAGCTGTGCTCACCATGCCTAGGCTGCTGAAAGAAACTCATCCTCCACAAAAACTTGAAAATTCTTTGACTTCAAAAACCAATGGTTTCTTCTTCAAATTTAAGAAGAAATGCCAACGTGATAAGCTCAGGAAGTGAACTTATGTGATCTTCTTTCTCCCAAAAAACTCCCTTGGCTATTTCTTCAAAGAAATATGAAGCATATTAAAGTAGAACCTTCTGATTGTTAGTTCTGTCAATCTTCACATGTGAAGCTTTGGTCTCTTCCCTATCCCAACGAATCACTTGGCTTACTCTCATATTTAAGGCTGATTAAAAAAAATTCTCACATTTAAGATTTCCCAGAGGACAAAGATAGACTATAACTTGTAGTAGTCAGTTTAGAAGAGGCACTGAATTGCTTTATGCCTTTCTCCTGCTTCCATTGTTAAAGGACTGAATTGCTTTATGGCTTTCTCCTGCTCCCATTGTTAAAGGACCTGCTAGAAAGCCAAGAATTAGTCTAATCAGCCCCCTAACAATCAAACATCACTTGGATTAACCTGCTTTAGTTCCAAGCCATATGTCGACGATGATTCTTCCTTCTGCACAAATTCAGACAACGTTCGAACTCTATCTTCCAGTATAATTCAAGCAACTTGGTCTGGGACAAAGAAGGTAAGCTTGGCTGAGGATACCAAACAAAGAGTGGATGAGGAGAGTGCAAGACAAAGGGATCCTTGAGCTGAAGGTCATCACCAATAAAAACATAAAAGAATGATAAACAACCGAATTAAATTTGTAAATAGGTTGCTGCATTTTTACTTATCAAGTATTTGTTGGTAAGCCATCCGTAGAATTAAAAGCCAAAAAGTCTATGAATATAATCATGAAAAAAATTTTTGAGCGGCATTTGTAGAAATTGTAGCAAAACTTTAAACCTGTTTAGGGAGCTTATTGAAATTGAAAGGAAAAAAAAAAAAAGGGCAAAAACACATTATTATATAATGAATGCAAAAAATAAAAATAAAGATCCCAAGAGCCAACTTGCTGTAAAATTCGAATGCAATGATAAAGAAGTATTCATTGACCCTTGATGAACAATAGTGGAAAGTCATGTTGAGAAGTGCTGAACATAAAAGCAGTATTTATGTTTTTACTTATTTCAATTTCCTTTTGTAGCTAGCTAATGTTCAAATTCAGTAATTGTGGCTCCACAAATTGAAAAGACCACCTCAAAAGGAAATCAATTTTATACTGGTTCTGAATTGCCACTGGTTCTGAATTACTTATATGACTCATATAACCATATATACTTTTAACCTCCTTAGCAGCACCTTTCTAAATCCTAACATTAGCCTATTAATTTTATGCATATAAGACATAAAAGTTAAAAACTAACGTAACTAAGGTTATCAAATGGTTATGAATTTATAATTAAAAACTTGACCTGAGACAATAGGGGTGTTTCCCTCAAAAATATTAGAGCAATGCTAGGGGCACTCGCCTCCTGCACTCTCCGGCCAACACTTTCTCTTTTATTGGGCCATGTTATTTTGGTTTCCAAGAGGTTTACGCCTGAAAGCTTTAAAGAAGATTACGTGGCCCAATGAAAGGGGAAGTGTTGGCTGGAGAGTGCAAAAAGCGAGTGCCCTTAGCACTGCCCAAAACATTATAGCTCCTATGACTGTAGACAATAAAAAGCAAGGAAAAGGAATCATGTGAATATCTTATCTATAAAAAGTGAAAAATGCATAGACCAAGATCGAATGATGCATGAGACAGCCAGAAAAATGAGATCAAGCCAAACTTGGGAAATATATATATATTTTTCGATACAGGAAATAGTTAGCTGTTAGTGTTAGTATCTATTCTGGTGAATGTTGGACGAGTCGAATAGATAATCTCTACTTTGCTCCTCAAAGGAGGAGGAGCGCAGCCCAACTAGTAGGCTGGAGTTCAAACTTGGGAAATATTAAGTGGGGAAGAAGAATAAGTAGGCATTTAAGAACAGTGAAAAAAGGTTATTGGCTTCAATCAAATTAAAAAAAAAAAAGAAAGAAAAAGAAAAAAGAAACAGTAGTTTTGTCCTTGCAGCCCCATTTAAAAATAAAATAGAAAAATAACTTAACTAGGTACTCTCTATAATATTTAAGGATTTGGCATTACCCATACAGGATGTGGCATTACCCATACAGGATGTGGCCAAACATATTGGCTACCGAGATTGAGTTCTCCAAATTCTTTGATTACTGCCTCTTCTATAAGTCAAATAAGCCGATATCAAAACCACCATAATTATCCAGCCAAAGTTCCATCTGATCTCAGTGTAGTAGATACAATTTCCTTTAAGTTTGGGGAAATCAATAGATGGTGTCAAAACTGAGGCATTATATCCCAAAAACATCACATTATCATCCAAATGTTTAATCTCGAACCATTTAAGCATATGTTTTATTAAAAGCTTTTGAAAGGTGATAATTTTAATTAATAAAAAAAAATTTCATATTCTTAATTAGAAAAGTTTTGAAAGGTTATATTTTTATTTATATAAAATCCCATCAAAAGTTAGTTGGGAAAGTTGTTAAGTGAATTACATACAACAAAGTTGTGGGAAACTTTTTTGTGGAAGAAGAGTTTACAAGTTACAAATGGTATCAAAGGAAATCAAGGCTAAAGATATCATTTTTGCCTTTTATTTATGTTTCCTCAAAAATCCTTAACTAACCCCAACCACATGAGTTTGAGAATAGGGCATGCCACTTGCTTTGTCTAAAAACAAGAAAACAAGATTTTTTAGATGATCCTTCTTCTTTCCAATGATCAACCTTCAATAGGATATCTAGAAAGAACATCTATGAAATAACTATGCCTTAGATGATGTTGCAAAACGGAGAGTGGAGTTTTGCAAAATGGGTTACTAATTGCCTTGGACACTTCCAAGGACTTTAAAACAACTAAAGTGTAACAAAGCTACAAATCCTAAATTAAATGCAATATCCTAAGGTAATTATCCTAACATGAAATCAATAAAAGAGAACAACATGCCACAGAAATAAATTCGTAGACAACAGACTGTGTGAAATCACAGACATTGATTTTAACTATGCAATCCATAATGATTAAACTAATTACTTGCAGATTTAAAATAAAAATAATTGAACTATTTGATTGTTAAAACTAAAAGAGAATCTACAAATTGACCAAAGTTTGGAAACTTGTAATATTAAATCTTAATCTAGAAATTAGAGTTAAACAAGCTGCAAGTTTGACAGTTGCACAGAAACAAAGAAAAGAAGGCAAAAAATAGTTAACATATATACGTAAACAAATGATGGAGGTGAATCCATAAGAGAGAAAAACTAGCCAAATCGACGAGGCAAACCCATTTTCAAGGCTAAATCACTTCCAGATCCTTAAAAACTAATCGAAGTTGTAATCTTTGAGGGAAAATATGAACAAGGATGGAAAAACCTAAACTGAAGCTATGAACAAGAACAGATCTTGCACTCTAATCTAGAAGTTATGTTGAAATCTGGAAGAAACAGT